TCTTTTATCCATTTATATAAATATTGTTTATTGGTCCTATGGTGAGGATTTTTGTTTCCTTTACATTGAGGTGCAGCCCATACCAAAGACTGTATGTAGTCTTTGATATTCATCAGTAAGTATTTTAAATCCTCTTCACTTCCAGCAAGCAAAGTTGTATCATCTGTATATCGCAGGTTGTTAATGAGTCTTCCACCAATCCTGATGCCACATTTTATTTCGTATAATTCAGCTTCTTGCATTATTTGCTCAGCATACAGATCAATGAGTATGGTAAAAGAATACAGCCCTGGCGCACACCTTTCCTAATTTTAGATCTTTCAGTGGTCCCTTGCTCTGTTCAAACAACTGCCTCTTGATCTAAGTACAGATTCCTCATGAGCACAATTAAGTGTCTGGAATACTCATTCTCCGCAATGTTGTTCTTAGTTTGCCATGATCCACACAATCAAAAGCCTTTATGTAGTCAATAAAGCACAGGTAAACATCTTTCTTGTTTCGCTACTTTCATTAAGATCCATTTGACATCAGCAATGATATCCCTCTTTCCACATCCTCTTCTGAATCCAACTGATCCTATAACACCACACCAGGACCCCATGGGTGACCCTGCTTGTATTTAAAATACTAGTGGCATAGCTTCCAGCATCATAGCAACATGCAAACTACCGCAGTTTGACAAACTGACAGACGAATGGCAAGGCACTACAGTACAACAAACTGACAGATTGGTGGAAGTAGTTTGTAGGAGTGGTTAATATCTAGCAGCAAAGTCTTCCTCGTTCTTGTGAGGGCTTATATATTTATCAGCACACAACCCAGTATTTGGATCAGGAAAGTCTCAAAAAGAGCACAACATGAACTAAGACTAATTACTGCTTTTTTTGCAATCAAAATGGGGAAGGACGAGTTCAGAAATAATACCCAGTAGTCTCAGAGTTCTGGGATGTAAACAAAGAGGACTCAAAGTACACCAAGACTTGACTATAGGACATAGGATTAGAATATAATGAGAGCGCACTCCATATTAACAAGATACAGACCTGTTGGGAGGAGAGATATGTTTATAATGATAGTAGTATCACTGGATTTTCAAAGGATAGGATAATGAGCACAAAGAATGCAGAATGTAAATGAATGAAGGGCCTTGTGATAGTTATGGCTTTCTGCCAACTTGGCTGGGCCAGGATTCTCAGTGGTTTCACAGTTCAAATGTAGTTTTTACCTCCATGATTAGCTCTAATATGATGCCATCACCCCATAATGTGATTTGATGTGATCAACTCAGATCTAATGTAATTATTCTGTGTATTGTATATCCTCACTTCCATGATATTAGCAGATGCAGTCGATAGGATTAGGTTGTATTTTGAGTTGATCTCTTTTGAGATACAAAAGGAGAGAGTTGTGAGCAGAGCTAAGAAGGACTTACTACCACCAAGGTAGAAGAGCCAAGAATGGCATGCATCCTTTCAAACTGAAGTCCCTACACTGTGAAGCTCCTAGATCCAGGAGAAGCTTGATGCCAAGACATAAAGAGATCTCCAATGAATACTGGGCCTACAGATGCTAAAAAGAGAAAAGAACCTTTCCCCAAAACTGACAGAGAGAAAGCCTTCCCCTAGCACCAGCATTTGGAATTTGAACCTCTAGCCTCCTAAACTGTGAGGGAATAGATGTCTAATTGGTGAAGGCATCCAGTTGTAGTCTTCCTGTTGTAGCAGTGCTAGAGGACTGAGACAGGCCTAAAGGAACAATCTGAAGGGATGTGGTGTTATTGTGAATGGGCTCTATTTAACCACTCCCTTGTTGATGGACACTTTATACTGCTTTAATCATGAAAAAAGAGATGCTGTCAACCTTCATAAATATGTTTCTTTGTGCAGTAGTATTTTTGAGGGTCAAATTCCTAAACATAGAATTTGTAGGTCAAAGGTTTTAATAGATACTACTTTTCTCATCATTTTACTGACTTTCTTCATAGCTGTCATCACCATTATTAAGTCAAGTTTATTACTTCAACCCTAATGAACATCAGATTCTTTCTAGATACTTAAGTATTTTCTTTCCTGTTCTCCCAAATTTTCATCATTACTGTATTAAAAAGAAAATGAGGGTATTTTACTCACTATAAAAATGCCAAAATAAAGAAAATTTAAAACTCCCATAATGCTACCAGCCAGAGATAATTACTATAAATTATTAGTTTGATTTGTTTTCTTCAAATCTTTTTCTCCTCATTTAATTAGAAAATTTTAATACAAAATTATTGTTGTTAAGGGTTGTTGAGTCAGTTCCAACCCCAGGCGACCCTGTATAGGGTTTCCAAGGAGCAGGTTGTGGGTTTGAATTAACAACCTTATGGTTCGCAGTCCAGTGATTATCCTACAGCAAAATTAAAATTATATTATACAGGGTCACTATGAGTCAGAACCGACTCTATGGCACAACGTAGTTTTACCGTCTACTTTTCTCATTTAATCAGAAAGAAATATTCCACGATTCCTCCCATTTGTCCTTCAACTCAAAGTTAAGAAGCCTTTATTTATTTTAACAGGTTTCCTAATGAATTGCCAAGGATTTTCAAGCCATAACATTACAGGATTTCTTATTTAAAAGTAAATACCTAAAAATGGAATAAAATTTTTAAAAATCTACTTTGATAAATTGGAATAGGATAATAAAAGTATCATGAATATTATAAACTGTGTACGCTTGATTTTTACCACTATAAGCCCTTAATCCTATAATATCATGAGTTGTCTGAATTTGTAAAGATAATTAAATCTGAGTTGTTTTCATATCAGAAAAGCTGCAGAAGAAGCATTGGAAATGGAAGAAGAAAACCGGAGGATGTTGGAAGCTATGAATATGAAAGCTAAAGGCAAGCACAGATTTGTATAACTAATAACGCATCACTTAAGCTTGTATTGTTACTGTAAGCAACTGTAGTTTTTCAAGTGAATTATAGGCAGAGTGACTTCATTTCCCTGTTAGCCTGTCACAGTCCAGGCTTATGTCTCTGGTCCTGAAGTACTTATAGTACCTGCCGTCATCCTCTTAAACGTTTCAATATGGTCATTAAACTACTGGATTCATAGAAAAGACTCCCAACACAGGCATCCACTTACTTGTGCCCCCTCTCAGATAGGTACCCAGAGGAGCAACATGTGCAGCATCGTAAAAATGGCTTTTCTTTGTCATTGTGTGACACACTGCTGGTAGAACTATTTCCATTAGCGGGATCCTACAGGAGTGGAGAAAACAACACTGAACACTAGCTATGCCCATTGTCTTTAAACTTAGACTTCCATTTCTATTCCAGAATGTACTCTAACAGTTTCTTTTAAGGTTGGCATTCATAACCCTAGGCTCATGAGTAAAATTCATGACTCTATGAACTTGAATAGGTAGATAATTACATCTTTATTTTTACTAAACTTTAACGGAAATTTATCATTTCTTTTAACTACTAATATGACATAATAGTAGTGGTTCCTTGACTTTGTCACCAATAGAAACAAAGACATTTTCCTGTCACATCATAGCTTTAGATATCTTGAAGTATTATTTTACACTTGCCACTGCTCCAGAATTATGGCAGTTATTAAATTAATGCTAGTGCTTGTTATTTAGTGCATTAATAAAGAAGCACAAATTTTCTACAGTACTTTTTTTTTTTTTTGGCATTTTGATAATATGGTTTTTTTTTTATAGATCTAAAAGTATTACTATTCTGAGAAGGATTCCATATGTTTCACCAGACTGCTAAAGGGACCCATGGCTCAAAAGAATGAGAAATATCTGTCTCGGTTTTCTATTTCTAAGCAACAAATCACCCTAAAATTTAGTGGTATAAAACCACCATCTTGTTATGCATACAAGTCTGTGGGTCAGGACTTTGGGAAGGACCCAATTGTAACAGCGGCATAGCAGAGCACCTGACTTCCTCTACTGTAACAAGGGTAGATAGAACCACCGCCAGCATCAGCCCAAGGCTGACTCCTATGAGATCTCCATCTCATAGGACCAGCCTCCTCTCTCCAGGCTTTTACTAATTCTGACACAAACTGTCCCTCCCATGGTACTTTCTACTTCTCTGTGGGGTTCAGTTATTCATTGCAATGGTTATACCGAACTCACAGACAATTGTCACAATTATAGGGTTAGTCAGGGAAGTTAAGGTTACAATTTAGGATCAGGAACAACTCAGGATACAGATCTATCAGTACAACTTATTGGCCATGCCCACAGCCCTGGCCTATCAAACCTCTAGGGCCTCTTAAGCCACCTGGCCTCTGCACTGCTCAGATAAGTGTTTCAAAGCTCTTTCACTCCACTGATAAATGCCTGGAAGCATCCCATTCCACCAGCAAGCCTCCTGCCCAAAGCTCTCAGTTTTCTAACTCGATGGACTGGTAAGCCCACCATAGTGTTTCCTGCCAGTCTCGTGGTTCTGCTGTGCCTCTGCTGCCACCGTTTCTCGACTACTGCTTCTTCCTCTCTCTGATATCATAAATCTCTCAGTCTTTTGGGTCTAGGAAGTTCTCAGGACAAGGATGCTCCACTTCTAACTCTTCTATTTTGATGACAGTGTGGTTCCCCCGCACCACTTCCCACAACTAGGATGGCTCATTTTAAGCCTAGAGCAATGGCAAAACTGACTAATCCCCTCATTAAGGTTCCTTACACTTTATTTGCATGGCCCCACCCCAAAAAGAATACCATGCACCTTATTTACATTATTTGCAAACTGTCCAATCCCTTTAGTAGTCCACAATTTGCACAGTCTTACCCAATCATTTGGTGGGAGTTATAAAACTATGATGAGAAAGTCTATGTAAAAGTGATCCTTCATACCACACAATGCTAACAGCTTATCTCCACTCCCGGGTGTCCTTGGTTCTAGCTGTGAGTGGGCCAGAAAATGTAAAGGATCCTTGTAAGTGGATCCTCCAGTTCTAGTCAAGCCTTCTGCAGCCCAGCTGACATCTTCATGACAATTTCATGAGCGATCTCAAACCAGAACCACCCAACTAAGCCACTCCTAAATTCCTGACCCACAGAAACTGCAAAGATAACATAGGATTGTTATTGTTTTGACCACTAAATTTTTGGATAATTCATTATGAAACAATTGGTAGCTAATGTAATACATAATTAACATCAAAATAACAGTACCAGGATCTTAGAACACTTTTTGGTACCTCCCTGAATTAAATAGTATACAGATGATCTCTTTCTTGTTGTCATTGTTGTTGTTAAGTGCCTTAGAGTCAGTTCCAACTCATAGCGACCCTGTATAGAGTTTCCGAGGAGCGACTGGTAAACTTGAACCCTTAAGAGTTCTATGAAACAAAATTCAAATATTTTACATTTTTCTGCATCATTTAATAAGCTATCTTTAATATATGTTCCCAAAGCTATAAATCTTTATGGAAGTAGACTGCTGAATCTTTTTCCCAACAGAGATGTCCAACTGCCAACCTTTGGGTAAGCAGCAAAGCACTTAGCTTCTGTGCCACCAGGGCTCCTCAATATGGATAAGAATATAATCTATAAATAAATATGTGTAGGAGGGACCAGTCCCTAGAGAAGAACATCACGCTTTGAAAGTGGGGGGTCAGCAAAAAAGAGGAAGACCCCCCAACAAGATAGATTGACACAATGGTAGCTCCAATAGGCTCAAATATAACAACAATTGTGAGGATGGTGCAGGACTGGGCAGTGTTTCATTCTGTTGTGTGTAAGGTCACTATGAGTTGGAACCAACTTCGTGGCACCTAACAACAAAAACAATATTGGAGACACAAAATAAAATTATATTTTGTTATAAGAGATACTCGGGTAAAAGAGATTTTGGACTTCTGGTAGAGAGCACATAACTTTATCCCAAACCAGCAAATGCTGGTTCTTCCTTGTGTATATTAACCTGACTATCCTTCAAAAAACACAAATAGATGTACCATTTTCCAGGTTATATCTGGAAGCCACATTCTTTGGACCTAGAGACACAGGATGCTCAGGGTACCTAATCATCCACATTGAGATTAGTATTCAGATGCCAGAAGTTTATCAGGTCACTAGACGGTGATTCTTAGAGATACTCACTGGGAGAAGATTGCAGAAATACCCACAGAAGTCCAGAAAATAAGCTCTCAGTATTTTTTCATTTCATCTTTGCATAGAAAACACTTTATTTTTTAGTCAATTGGCCTCAATACTTATCAGAGTGCCTTGTTGTTAAGTGCCATTGAGTTGGTTCTGACTCATAGGGTCTCTGAGGAGCAACTAGTAGGTTTGAACTGCGGGCCCTGTGGTTAACAGTCCAGTGCTTATCTTACAGTGCCACACCAGGGCTCCACCAGAGTGCTTGGTACCCAGTAAATATTTGTTGGCCTAACTGAACTTATTTCTTCTCTCTTTTTTTTTTTTTCCCTAGCGGCTGAAGAGGCTGAACAAGAGGCTGAAGAAGAGCTTGATACTGAGGGGTCGGAATTTCCTGAAGGGTCTGAGGCACCTGAGATATCTGAAGAAGCCAGAGCATCATTATTACCTGAGGAGTCTGACGTGTTGTCTGAGATCCCTGAAACAGAACCTGAATCAGGTTAGACTTTGTTGAAGGTCTTGGCCTTCATTCTACTTAAGTCCGTTATGTGTCTGTGTCTGTGCATATGTGTATGTATGTATATATATATGTTGATGAAGTGGATGCACGCCCTCTGAGAACACCCCTTCAGTCCAGATCTCATGGTATGAAGTGTGGTAGAAAAGCTTAGTCTCCTCTGCTCAGGACAGATATTCAGGACCGGGACCAACTAAACTACATCATATGTTGTTGTTGTTAAGTGCCAAATCGGTTCTGACCCATAGCAACCCCATATGGACAATAGATTCTGACTCATAACAACCCTGTATAGGGTTTCTGAAACTGTAAATCTTTACAGGAACTGAAAGCCTCATCTTTCTCCCAGAGAGCGGCTGGTAGATTCAAACTGCTGACATTGCATTTAGCAACCCAGCTTGTAACCCACTGTACTGCCAGGGCTCCTTTCAATTAGATATGTATGATTTAAATTGTCTTAAATTTTCTTTGAGCCAAAACCTATACAAAGGAATAATGTCTCTTTATTTGTCCATTTTTCTTGTGAACTGAGTGATAGTTTACATGGGAAAACATCCATTTTTCACTCATCATTTCATTGCAATGATTACAATCTCCTCCGTGCATCATCATTCAACAGTATTTGCTTCTATTCCCTCTGTTTTTCCGTGAGTTTTTTTGGATGTGCACAAAAACACTCAGGAATATATAATCACGTAAACAACCCAAGGGCACATTCTGCAAGCCTGTCTTCTGGCCGCAAGCACACAGCCTTTCTTTTTCTGATTCTAGGGTCCTCAGCTGCTCCCTCTCTCCGTGTCCTCATCTCTGCCTCCATCTCTGGTGTCACTACTTCTCTGGATAGGGTCCCATATTCCACTCATGCTCTTCTCCCTTGATGGTCCTAGGTCCTCTGGTCCTGGACTGTAAGATTAACTACTCACCCCTTTTTGTTACAGAACTTCTACTTTTATGGTAGTGACCGTCGCAATTAGTCATGATAACAATTACTCACCATTGAATCTTATCCCATTATCTTTTCACCAGACCCATCTAGACAAGATGAGAACTATTCAGTGGGGATTCTACTTTCTCTGCACACACTGAAACTAGATTCCCTCTTGAAAACTTGGAAGCCAGTCACTTCGTGCCTTTATAGCCCCTCTCACACCCCATTGTAGGTAGCCAGTGTCTAAGTTGCCTGTCCCTATCTATCCTGTATACCGAGAGGATAGGATTAATCCTTGATGTGAAGACTCCTTCCCTCTCAGTTGGTATTTTGAGCTACTACATCTCTTAGTGTAGGTCAAATTCAAGGAATGATGTCTTTTAGATTCGAACACTAACCATTCAATTTCTGTTTTAAGTACCTGAGCCTATTGAGGATACTACAGTTGAAGCTGAAATTCCAAAAGACTCCAAAGAGGGCCTGGAAACTGAAAAATTATCTGAAACAGGTCAGATTATAATATAAAAGCAGTTAATACATTAAAAAGCTTTCTTGCCCTCTTATGAACAGTCCTTTCCCTTATTATAGACATAACACCAACTTCCTACTTATTTCTTTGTATATTGTATGCCAGTTGTGTTGTATGTATTTAGTTTGTTTTATTAAAAAAGTCTCTAACCAAATTGTGATGTTATATTTTATTTTTTATATTTTATTAACAGTGAAAGGTACCATATAAAATTTTCACTAATTATCCTAATAACTTGGATAATTTATTACAACAGTACAAGGAGCAATACAATTAGATATAGGTTTATGGAATGTATATTGTTGCTTAGAATATTATTTATTACTTTCAAATGTTATTAAAATACTATAAAGCATAGATTCTTTTTTATAAGATAACTAAAAAGATACCATTTAAAACCTCTTTTTTTCTTTAACATTACTCAGAAGTTATGCTGCCTGAGTATCCAGAAGACGCGTATCCTGAGGTCCCTGAAATGGAGCCACTTAAAGAGAAAATTAAGCAGTACGTCCTCTCCTGGAAACAGCTGGAAGCAACACTCAATGATTTAACTTTTATTCAAATTTTAAACTTGGAGATTGCTGGCAAAACTCCAGAGGAACTACTCCAGAAAGTAGTTGAAACTATGGAAAGTAAGGGTTTTAACCATAACAGTACCAAGAGCCAGTAATATTATTAAAAACATTGTGAAACTTTAAAGGCATTCTTGATTGTTTATGAAGTAAAACATCCAGTATATCTGGGAATGATATGTAAAATATTTCACAACTGTTGTAGCCAATCAGAGGAGCCATCGGACACAACTGGCACTGCCCGTACTGGATAGCTGTCACGTAAAGAACTGTAAAGGCTTAATTTAGTATATGGACTCTTGGTGTGGCGCTTTAGGATAAGCACTGGACTGCTAACCACAGGTCGGCAGTTCAAACCCACCAGCCACTCCTCCAAAACCCCATATAAGGTCATTTACATACAGAAGGAGTCTGGTGGTGCTATGGATTAGGCATTGGACTGCTAACCACAAGTCTGTTTCAAACCCACCGGAGACAGATGAGGCTTGCTGCTCCCATAGAGATTTACAGTCTCAGAAACCATATAGAGAGTTATTATGAGTCAGAATCAACTCAATGGCTGAGGGTTTTATTTACATACATACTTCACTTAATAAATTGGTAACTATAATTAATTGTCCTAACCTTTACTACTGTAATACATTGTTATTGTTGTTAAGTGCTGTCGAGTCGGTTCCGACCCATAGCGACCCTGTACAGGGTCTCCGAGGATGTAAATCTTGATGGGAGCAGAAAGCCTCATCTTTCTCCTGTGGAACAGCTGGTAGTTTCGAACTGCTGACCTTAAGGTTCACTACCCAATTCGTAACCACTACGCTACCAGAGCTCCTTCTGTAATACAGTAGGCTCCTTTTATTATCAAAATATTTTCCCAAATGTCTGTTTTGTTGTTGTTGCTGTTGTTTTACAGAACCCTTTAAATATACTGGATGGGAGTTAGTTATGGAAGATTATGATGAAGAAACCGAAGACTACCAGGCTGAAGCAGAAGTTGATGAGGAGCTTGAAGAAGAAGAAGAGGAAGAAGAGGAGGTATGATTCTTTTATTGTTGTTGTCGTTAGGTGCCATACAATCAGTTCCAACTCATACTGACTCTATGTATCACAGAACCAAACACTGCCTGGTCTATGCCACCTCACAATTATTGTTACACTGGAGACCATTACTGCTGCCACTGTGCCAGGCCATCTCCCTGCGGTCTTCCTCTTTTTTTGCTGATCCTCCACTTTACTAAGTATACTGTCTGTCTTCAGGGACTGGTCCCTTCTGATAACATGTCCAAAGTATGAGAGACAAAATCTTGCTGTCCTGGCTTCTAAGGAGCATTCTGGCTGTGCTTCGTCCAAGACAGACATTTGTTCTTCTGGCAGTGCAGAGAACTTTTAATATTTTTCTCTAATGCCACAATTCAAATGCGTGGTTTCTTCTCCAGTCTTCCTTATTCATTGTCCAACTCACATGCATATGTTGTTGTTGTTAAGTGCCATCAAGTCGATTCTGACTCATAGCGACCCTGAATAAGGTTTCCAAGAAATGGCTGGTGGTTGTGAACCACCAATCTTGTGGTTAGCAGTCCAATACTTATCCTACAGCGCCACACTGAGGCAAATAAAAATACCATGGCTTGGGTCAGGCACACCTTAGTCCTTTTGCTCTTTAACACTTTAAAGAGGTCTTTTGCAGCAGATTTGCCTAATGCACTTTGTTGATTGATTTCTTGATTGCTGCTTCCAGAAGGGTTGATTGTGGATCCAAGCAAAATGAAATCTTTTTGAAGACTACTTCAATTTTTCTCCATTTATTATGTTATTTATTGGTTCAGTTGTAAGGACTTTCATTTTCTCTGTATTGAGGTGCAATCTGTACTAAAGGCTGTAATGTTTTCTCTTCATCAATAAATAGTTTAAGTCCAGCAAGCAAAGTTGTATCATCTGTATATTGCAGGTTGGCAATGAGTCTTCCTCCAATCCTGATGCTACGTTCTTCTTCATATAATCCAGCTTGTCAGATTATTTCCCTAATTGTATTTTGAGAGCCTTCCAACCTGAGGAGTTTATCTTCTGGCAAAATATCTGACAATGTTCCACTACTATTAATAATCTTTTCATCTTTCAGCCTTTTATCTGGCAGTCTTCTGGTGGCAATGAAATCCATAAGGCTTTCAGTGAGTAACCATTAAGAGGTAGTCCACGTCTTCTTCTTCCTAGTCTGTGTTAGTCTGGAAGCTCTACCGAAACCTGTCCACCATGATGGCCCTGTTGGTATTTAAAGTACCCATGGCATAGCTTCCAGCATCCCAGCAACACATAAGACTTCACAGTACAATAAACTGACAGACAAGTGATGGATGATTCTTATCATTCATTCTCATTTGACAAGTTACTCAGAATGCATATATCCAGAGTGGTAATTATCACTTTTTGACATCAAGTGAACAAACAGGTATCCTCAATTTCATAAATCAACATCTTCATGCACAACCTGTTTGAAAGAAACAACACTGAACGGTATGATCAAGAAAGGATGCCCTCCAATAAGATGACATCTGAGGTGAGACAGAAAGTCTGAAAAGGGTCTGGACAAAGATCACTCCACTCAGTTTTATTTTCTGCATATCGTTCTATCTGTTATACTTTTAGGTATGGTCTTCACTGATAATGTAATGACTTTTTCTCACTTCCTGTCTTCCTAATATGAAACTAAAACACCCTCTCTGATGCCCCAATGACTGTCTTAAATTAAAAGATTGAATGGAGGACTGTAAAAAAATGACACCAACCATTCCTCTCCCTTCCCCTCACCCACCATACCCTCTTTACTCAGTTGAGTTCAATAGTTCATTGCAGTGCCCACACAGAACTCAGACACCAGCCTCACAGTTATGGGGTTTATTAGGGAAGTTAATGAATTATAATTCAGGGTTAGAAATGTTCAGGGCACAGTTGTTCCAGTCAAGGCAGCCTCTCCTCAGGCAGGCCTACAGACAGGTCTCTCTGCCCAGTCAGTGTTACAAAGCTTTTGAAAGGCAGCTGATAAATGCCCATAGGACATACCATTCCACCATAAGCCTCAGGCTAAAGGTATTTGGCTCTGTTGGTCAGTAAACCTAGTCCCCAATTAAGTGCAAGCCTCCTGCCCAAAGCCGCTCAGCTTTACTTGCTCTATGGGCTGGGAAGCCCACTGTGCTGTCTCATCCTCTGGCTCCTGGTTCTGTTGCTACTGCTCCTTTGTCACTCCTTCGGTGTCACAGCTTCCTGTCCTTGGTTTGAGAAGGTTCAATGCACAGGATCTTGAGATCCAAAGGACACACTCCACTCCTGACTCTTATTCTTTGACAGTAGCAAGATCCCCACTCCTGTTTCTGAGATGGCTTAGTTTATACACATTCGAGTTCCAGGTTTTTACAATCAGAGTTAACACTGTTAACCACTTAGAACTGAACTGTATTATCCTATTCAGTATCTTCTCCCACCTTATCCTAGCCAGACCCAGCAGGGCAAAAACATTGTTTGGTGGGAGTTACAGACTATGGCTAAAAGCTCAATTAAATAATTCAGACATTGCAAAGACATATTTCAAAGTATAAAAACAGCAATTGTAAAGAAAGAGATGGCAATTTTTATTAAAAGGCTATTTGGAGAGTAGATCCAAGAAACCTAACTAGTGATGGGAGTTATGGAGGGAAAAAAGCAGAGATGAAAGAGAGGCAAGAATTAATTTCCCTGGGACCTAGATATAACCTCCATATTGAGAAGCACGCCAAGTTCAGGTAGAAATGACTTAAAAAGACAAACTCCTGGGATATTGAGTATGACTCCTGAACTTTGAGGAAAAAGAAACAAAGAGCAAGAATCTAGACAGAGGATCACACTTTCCCGTTGCTCCAATAGACTGGTGGCACCGCGGTTAAAGCATTCAGAGGTTGGCGGTTTGAACCTACCAGATGCTCTATGAGAGAACGATGTGACTGTCTGTGCTGTGTGCTCCTGTCTAGGTTGTTGTTGTTGGTTCCATGTTACAGCAGCGTCCTGTCCAACAGAATGACACACTGCCCGCTCCTCACAGTCGGTGCTCCGTTTGAGCTCATTGTTGCAGTCACTATGTCAACCAACCCACCTCACTGAGGGTCTTCCTATCTTTTTCACTGGTTCCCTGCTTTACTGGCCATGATGTCCTTCTCCAGCATCTCTCCTGATAACATGTCCAGAGTATATGAAATGAAGTCTTGCCATCTTTGCTTCTCTTATGCCCTTGGAAACGCTATGTATGGGGCAGTTCTACTCTGTCCTAAAGAGTTGCTGTGAGTTGGAATCGACTCTACAGCAATATGTTTTGGGGTTATTGCTCCAATATAAACATTTGAAAATTTACAAAATATATACACCTACAAAATTTTTCTAGTGAGTGCTAGTTAAATATAAAACATTGAATTAAATACAAAATAAAAAAATTACAAACTATTTAAACTGAGTAACATATATAAAAAGCACATATAAAAACACTGTGTTAAGCCAGAAATAGACACTAGGGTTGCCAGTTAAAATACATGCTGTCCAGTTAAATTTGAATTTCAGATAAATGTTTTTATGCATGAGGTGTGCTTGTACTAAAAACGAAAATAGTAATTTGAAATTTAAATTTAACTGGACAGTCTGTAGTATTGTTATCTGGTAAGCCTGGCAACCATACTCTAAGTGTATTTATTAAGAATCAAGAAAGACTGGAGAAAAAGAACAAAGCATTTTCAATTCATGAACCTGGAAAAATAACACAGCAAAATAAATCAGAAGGAAGAAGATTAAAGGCAAATTTCCATGAAATAAGACAAAATAAAAACAGTAAACCTATTTTTAAAATATGTAAGTTAAGTTCATTAACAGAACAAACCAACAGACAAACTTCTGGCAAGTCAAGTAAAAAGAAGCAATAAAATGAACTGGTTATATAATTCAATATGAGCACAAACAGCATGGCTTTAAATTATTGCAACTGTATACTAATATATTTGAAAGTCAAGATGAAAAGAATTTTGCCTCCCAAAATTACTAAAATTTGTATAGGAAGAAAGATAAAAGCTAAACAAACAAAAATAATAGAGGGGTCATTTTTGGTATACTTTCTTTAATTAGATAGTTCCTATGCTATCTAATCTAACTTTTCTATGTCATAGAAAAATATAAATACTTCCCAGTTTATTTTGAAACTTGCACAATATTAATACAAAATTCAAACAAGGATGGCACAAGAAAAGTATGGATTAGTCTTATTTTTGTACCTTTATATAAGGTTGGTAATTATACCTTACTTTGTGAAAAAAACAAAAGTTATATATAGAACAATTATATATATATATATATATTCAAATACTGTATCTGTGCTTCTTGTTATTGTTAAGCACCTTTGAGTCGGTACTTAAATAGTATTTTATTTAGAAACTAACACTGTATAGTTTATAGGGTTTCCAAGGAGCAGATGGTGAGTTTGAAATGCTGACCTTGGGTTTCAAACGAGCCTTGCGGTCCAGTGCTTATCCTACAATGCCACAACAGAAATCTTTTTGCATCTTTATTGAGAGGACATACTTTTTGTGAAAAATGGTCTGGAATGATACACACAAACTACTAAAAGTATTTATGTAGTTTCAGAATGAAAAAGATGAGAAATTTTCTCTCTTTATAGACTATAATATGTTTTGAGTGCTTTTACAATAACCATGTATAAATAGGAAACAGAAAATCCTGCAGTATCTCCCATTTAATTTTAAGAAGTTGTGACTCTGATTCAGCTTTTATTTCCCTGGGCAACTTGCTTGTTGCTGGGTGCCTGCCAGTCAATTCTGACTCCCACTCAAGGTAACCTCGTGTGACAAGTAGAATTGCCCCAGAGGGTTTTCTTAACTGTAATTTTTACAAAATCAGATTGCCACATCATTCTCCGGAAAAGCTGCTGAGTGCATTCAAACCACCAACCTTTCAGTTAGCAGCCAAGCACTTAAACTTTGAGCCACCAGGGCTCCTTTGCCTGGGAATAGTGATCCTGCATATCCACCTCCTGAGGGTTTTCATTCCATCTATGTTGGTAAGAGTCCTGGGGTGGTGCTGTGGGTTAATGTACTGGATTGCAAGATCAGCAGGTCAAGCTCACCCGCTGCTCCTGGAAAACCTTATACATGATCACTATGGGTCAGAATGGACTCAACGGCATTTAACAACAACAATGTTTATAAAAAAGGAGCCCTGGTTGTGTAGTGGGTTACAAGTTGGGCTGCTAACTGCAGGATCAGAAGTTTGAATCTACCAGCTGCTCCACAGGAGAAAAATGAGGCTTTCTGCTCCCGTAAATATTTATAGCCTCAGAAATCCCATCCATGGTCACTGTGAGTTGAACCAAGTTGACAGCACACAAAAGCATGTATGTAAAAGGCTGGGTATGGGTTAATACTCGGGGATACTTATGAAAATCAAAAATCATAGGATGTAAATTTAAAGGGATATGAGAACTGATTTTTTTAAATAATTAAAATCATCTAAGGACTGACCTTTTGCATTGTGGATTAAATATTGCTCAAAATGCATATTTTTTTTAAAATTTCTTCTTTAATGTTGCATCATGTTACTTAATGATGGTCTCCAAACTTTAAATACATTTTTAGAATGAAGATAGAATTAAAGAAAAGAAGAGGCATTTGGGAGACACAAAACACTTTTGTCCAGTGGTTCTCAAAGAAAACTTCATCCTACAACCAGGTAACACAGACGAAGCAGCTAAATATCGAGAAAAGATCTACTACTTCTCAAGTGGTGAGGCAAAAGAAAAGTTTTTGGAGAATCCTGAGGAGTACGTGGCTCATGATGAACCTCTAAAGGTGAAAACAATGTACCTATCCTTAGTATTTTTTTTTTAAGAACTTACTACCAGCCTCCATTATTGAAGGTGATGAAGTCCCCAATTTGCTGTAACAATAAAATCTCTCAAAGAATAACCATTTCAGAATATACCATAAAAAAAGAGTGATCTATTTGGGTTTCTACAGTATTGCTTTAGTACACAAGGGCTTTAAAAAGTTCATGGAAAAATTTCATTATCTTTTTATACCGTTTTTCCACAAACTTTTGTAAACCCCTTGTATGTATCTTTTCATCTGAAATAAAAGACGCAACTGGACTCATTGCTTACAATATTCACAGAATCCCTGGCTGGTGCAAACCGTGAACATATCTGGCTGTTAATTGAAAGCTTGGAGGCTGCAGTTCACCCCGGGGCCCCTTACAGGAAAGGCCTGGGAATCTACTTCTGAAAAATCAGCCACTAAAAACCCTGTGGTTACTTATCCCAGGTTCATTTATAATACTTTTCAATTGTGAATACCCTAAATGCTCAACAAGATGAGAATGACAAAATAAACAAGAGAATTCCATTAGGATAGGAATGAAAGCAATTAAGTTGTTGCCAAGACCATAAAACGGAGAAAGTCTTATGATGTGATATCAAGTTTAAAAAACAAATACAAGCCTGTATGTTTGATATGGTTCCAATTGTTCTACAAAAATTGGGTGCATATAAGATAGAATATCAGAGCTAAAAACTAATGCTGAATACCAAGATGTGATTTTTCAATTGTAATTTTCCTCTGATAATTTTCCTATTGTACTGTATTTACTAAATTGTCTTCAATAAATAGTTGACTACTTTTTAATGAAAAAGAAACCCTATGAAACACAGCTGTACTCTGACACTTCTGGGGTAGCCAGAGTGGACTAGGGGGCAACTGTTGTGACTGGTTTATGTGAAGAGAGCAAGGTTTTGTTCTATCAAACAGAAGGTAGCCATGAATCAGAGCTGACTCAACAGTGACTAACTATAACAGAACTGATGCTGGTTACTCATTGTCTCTGAGCAGAGCAGTCAGATGACTTTACACAGGGTTTTGGGGAAGTGTTGGGAAACTTTCAGAGGTCTAAGTGGGTTGACGCCATCTGTAGACTTGTGATTGATCAGGTGCGATGGCTTTTTACGGGTCCCCACTCTGAGGGGTGTAAAAGCATTGAGTCCCCCTCTGATTGGCTGACTTTCAGCAGCAAGAGGCTGACACTGATTGGTTTGATTACAAAAGAGTAATCTCTGAGCTAAATTGTCAATCAATTAAATGGACCAAAACTGATTACCACATCTATAAGACAATTTGTCTTTTCCTCAATTTGTGGGAACCTTTTTATTCATACCTGTTTATCTACCATTGGTGCCATTTTCCCTACCTTGTTTCAAAAACATTTTTAAGAACACATGGTAGCAATATTTTATTCATTTTTTAATAAAACACAACATATAATTCAACTAGCTTTACACAACAGTTTTTATTTTATGTTTTACTTTCTGGTTCTCTTCCTCATGGATATATATATATATATATGGTAGCATAGTGGTTATGAATCGGGCTGCAAACTGCAAGGTCAGCAGTTCAAAACTACCAGCTGTTCTACGGGAGAAAGATGAGGCTTTCTGCTCCCGTAAAGATTTACAGCCTCAGAAACCCTGTACAGGGTGGCTATGAGTTGGAACTGACTCCACGGCACATAACAACAGCAACAACAAATATATAGTGTCAGACTGCAAAGTTTCCTTGGAAACCCTATACAGGGTCGCTATGGGCTGGAATCGACTTGACGGCACTTCACCACAACATATATATATATATTTCTAGTGTATATATAACTTTCTGAAATCTGCTTTTTCACTTAATATTCTAGTGAAGAGACAGTTTCATCTTTTCTACAGAGGTATCTTAATGTCTAATCATTTTGAGCATCAAAACAACTTTAGCATCAAATTCACTGTTAGACATTTTTTCACAGTGCTTTTCATAGTATTTTCTTATGGTGGATGGTGGTGGTGGTTATGTGCCATGGAGTTGGTTCCTACCCATAGCGACCCTGTACTGGGTTTCCGAATCTGTAAATCTTTATGGGAGCAGAAAGCCTCATCTTTCTACCGCGGAATAGCTGGTAGTTTCTAATTGCCAACCTTGCAGTTCACAGCCTGATTCATAATCACTACACTATCAGAGTTCCCTATGGTGGATAGGAAATGGCATTTAGGAAATCTTTAGACCCATGGTTCTTGTTTCTCTTGAAACTTTTATTAATATAATTCTCTGGAATGAACTTGCTGGATCGGGCTATTCATGTCACAATATAATGCTATGTCTTCTTCATTTAGAACATGATTTAAATTCTTCTGAATAATTTGGGCCATTTTCATGCACCTCCATTTTCGTATGATGCCCACAGGGACTGCATGTAAGGAGGAGTAGAATCACTTAAGTACTATGGCCATTTGTCCCCTTTGTTGATTTCAGCTATCATGTCTCTCCACTGAGTCATTCTGCTGCTTGGGGTCAGTAGGATTTTTTTGGCACACATCCATGAGCCCACGATTCTTCCACAAAGCCTAGAGGGCCTGGGGTTGGTCTCAGACATTTCTCCCGTGTCCAGTCACTGTAATACCTCTGAGTTAGCAGCAGTGCCCACAGTAGATCAGGCTGCCAAAGCTGTACCCTGTGTTATTCCAAACAGTCTTACCACTGAGCAGTTTCAATGTGATACAAAATACTTTGGGAGGCTGCTACAGCTACATCATATTATACTGTTTCTGGCTTTTACTTTTTTGTTCATTTATTTTCCCACCACTCAATTTTTCATTGCTTATTTTGGACTCCTGGTGTGACGCTATAGGATAAGCACTGGACTTCGAACCACAGGTCAGCAGTTCAAACCTACTAGCTGCTCCTCAGAAACCCTATGCAGAGTCGCTACGAGTCGAAGCTGACTCAACAGCACTTAGCAACAGCAAACATTTTTCTTAAAATAGTACTTGACCACATTAATTTATGAGGAAAAGCAGTTCTCCCCTCTCACCACAGTCCCATCTCAGAAACAGTATCTTTAGCATTTCTGTATTTAGTTCTTCAGTGGTTGCCTCCCTGTATTTGAATAATATGCTTATCTCTCCATTTCTTGATAATATCACCTTTAGTGATGGTAGAATGCTGTTGAGTCAATTCTGACTCATTGCAACCCTGTATAGGGTTTCTGAGGCTATAAATCTTTATGTGAACAGAAAGCCTTATCTTTCTCCCTTGAAGCAACTGGTAGATTTGAACTGCTGGCCTTTTGGTTAGTAGCCCAGCACGTAATCACTACACTACCAGAGCTCCTTTAGTCATCAACACTCCCTGAGATGAAGAGCAACAATTTAGCTCTTACACTGTCTTCTCTTCCTCAGAGTTTTATATCTTTGTTACTTTTCATTCTGTTGTTTTGTGAGGGAACTTACCCCAAATGGGCTCAACAAAAAGGTACTGAATGGTAGGTTGGTTTCAGTTGTAGCTTCTTGCCTATCAAGTGTCAAATGCTGTCACCAGGGCCCAGTGTCTCTCTCCAGCTCTCAGTTCTGCATTCTCTGGATTTGTATTCTCAGGGAGTTTCTTGTGACAGTGGCGCCAGGCACTCCAAATCTTAAATCTGTTTTTCTCAAAGCAAGCAAAAATGGACCCTGTTTTGTTTTGTTTTGTTTTTCCCCAAAAGCTTCTGCATTACCCTCACTGACCCAGTACCAATGGTCAAAAGAATATGATGCATCAATTCACATGCCCAATTCTTGAAGTAATGATGGAATCAGTTCCATTGATGGTCATCACGTGAGCGCTAGCCAGATACAGCTAGCAGAATAGTGAATAAATGCTGGATGGCAAAATCAACAGTTCTTTACATGTTTTCCTTTTGAGTTCTGTTTTTTTTCTTTCACCCTTGTTTTGCTGAAACATATCCTCAATTAATTTTCTTCATATCTGGAAAATGTGCATTATTTGGTTTTCATATAAGATTGATATTTTTATGAGCATGGGTTTCTATGTTGAAAATAACTTTCCTTTGAAAACACCTTGGATTTCTCTTTCCCATATGTGTATTTCCCTGGCATGCCTTCTCCCTGCATTTTTAAACTCTTCTCTGAACATTTCTCCACAAGGACAAGAGGTGATAGGTTGCCTTCCATGCTTCTCTCTGCTGATCACAATTCATAACTTCTCCTTCCTTTGCAAAAACTCCAGTTCCTTTGAAGTTCATACCATCCAGATATGAGGGGGCTTCAAAAAGTCTGTGGGAAAAATGAAATCCAAAGATAACTGAACTAGATGGTGCCCAGCTACCACTACCAACTGGTCTGAAAGGGATCACATTAGAAACGTGCTGGATAGAGTGGGAGACAAATGTGAAACAAAACTCAAAATACTAAAATATACCAGGCTTACTGATCAAATAGAGACTGATGTAACCCCCAAGACTATGGCCCTTAGTCACCCATCAGGTCTGGAACTGAAGCCTAATTTTTAGTCAGTCAATAGTACGCACACCTTAAAATAATCAAACATTTCAGATCAAAAGGGCAACATTTACCCTAAGACAAAGTTCAGAAGGGTTAGGAAAGAAGGAGGAATGGAAGAAAGAAACAGGGAGGAGTTGGGACAAGTGATACTACGTTGAAGAGATGGCAATAAGTGAAATGAAACAAAATGTATATGATTTGTTAAATATAAAACTGATGGGGAAGTGGTTAAGCACTTGGCTGTTAACTGAAATGTAACGATTTGCTCTGTAAACCTTTACCCAATTTACAATAAAAAGTTAAAAAATAAAAAAGAATCACAGCCCTGGAGCAAAGCAAAAAAAAGATAACTGAATTTAAAAAAAAAAAAAGATAAAGGAATTTTCTCACAAACTTTTTGAATCCCTCTCAACATTTCCCAGTCCTTACTGCCATCACCTACCAATTTCAGAGCTATTTCTCCTCATTCACAAAAGACTTCAGCTCCTTGTTCGCCACAGCTCTTGTCATTCTCAGCAGTTCTGACATCCACATGGATGATCTATACTGTGGGTTCTCTAAGTTTAAGCATCCTCATCTGCAAATGGGGACTGTAGGCATTCATGGAGGAACCAATAGTGCTTCATTATTAGAGCTTTTTTATTTGGTAGAGAGATTTTTTTTTTATCCTGTTAAGAAAATCCCTTCCCATTTTTATTCATTAAAATTTTTCTTACAATTCTAAATGCTTAATTTTATCAAATGCCTTTTGGCATATGATATTTAGATGATCCTATGGGAACATCTTAAATTCCAAAAAAATGGATGAATGGATAAATACATTGTGGTACATACATCCAATGGAAAACTACACAGCTATAAAGAATAACGAAGAGTCCACAAAACATAACATATATGAATGCAGGACATTGCTGCTGGTGTTGTTAGGTGCCATGGAGTCAGATAACAGAACAAAACACTGCCTGGCCCTGGGCCAACCTCACAATTGTTGCCACACTTGAGCCCATTGATGCTTCCACTTTGCCAGTCCATCTCGCTGGGGGTCCCTGTTTTTCTCTGACCCTCTTCCTTACCAAACATGATATCCCTCTCCAGTGACTGGTTTCTCCTGACAATGCGTCCAAAGTATGAGAGAGGAAGTCTGGCCAGCCTGTCTCCAAAGAGCACTCTGTCTGTACTTTTTCCAATACAGATCTGTTGGTTCTTTTGGTAGCCCATGGTACTTGCAATATTCTTCACCAATTCCATAATTCAAATGCATTGATTCTTCTCCTGTCTTCATTATTCATTATTTAACTTTCACATGCATATAAGGTTATTGAAAATACCATGGCTTGGGTCAGCCACACTTTGGTCCTCAAGCTGACATCTTTGCTCTTCAATGCTTTAAAAAGGTCTTGTGCAGCAGATTTGCTTAACACAATACATCGTTTGATTTCGTAACTGCTGCTTCCATGAGTGTTGATAGTTAATCGAAGGAGAAGGAAGACCTTGACAACTTCAATCTTTTCTCCATTGATAAGAATGTTATTTATTGGTCCAGTGGTAAGGATTTTTGTTTTCTTTACATTGAGAAGCGATCCATACCGAAGGCTATGATCTTTGATCTTCATCAGTAAGTATTTTAAATCCTCTTCACTGGAAGACATTATGAGGAGTGAAATAGTCAATCACAAAAAGACAAATATTATATGGTCCCACTATTATAAAAAAGCAAGAAGAGATCTACTGTACACACACAAAACACTTTTCTTTGCTGTTATAAGGGATGGGAGGGGAAGAACAGGAAATCACTTTCAGGATAGTAGATACTTGTCATTTTTGGTGATGACACAGACAATATTAAATGTGGGTGAAGTGTGTACAATATGACCAAAGTAAATGAAGACAATAAAAAGTACACAATTAAAAGGGACAATTTCAGTAAAAATGCTATAACATAAATAATTTTGCAGCAGCATTACATTAGTAAATATGTATCATATATATATATATATATATATATATATATATATATATATATATGTATAATAGGAAGGCATATGTACATGTAGGGAGTCCTGGTGGGCGCTGTAGGATAAGCACTCAACTGCAAGTTCAGTTTGAACCACAAGGTCGGCAGTTCACACTCACCAGCCACTCTTCAGAAACCCTGAACAGGTCAGAACAGACCCAATGGCACTTAACAACAACAACAGCATGTATATGTAGAGGTGTATCTGTAGACATATACAAGGGGGCTGCAAAAAGTTTGAGAAAAATATAATTAATATAAAATATATGAATAATTAAAAGATCGTGGGATTTTCCAATTACCTTTTGAAGGATAGATAGATAGATAGATAGATAGATAGATAGATAGATAGATAGATAGACAGATAGGTTAGAACCAACTCGACAGCATATAACAACTATATATGCTAGTTCTTGTGTACTGCATATATATCCATATATATAGTAAAGCAAATAAAGGGTATAGTCATGGAGACTTCTTAGACATATCTAAAGGCCTTGTGGGAATGGTTTACTGGGTTAAAAAGTTTAAGACCATAGTCTTATGCAGCAACTTAGTCAATTGGCTTGACATGATTCATAAAGATAATGTTCTATGTCCTAGTTTGGTAAGTAGCATCCATGGTCTTAAAAGCTTATGAGCAGCCATCTAAGATACAATGATGTGTCTGGAGTAAAAGAAATTGAAGGAAACCAAAGATTCAAGAAACTAGTCCATATAACTAATAGCCCATACAAACCATGACCTCTTCTATATAAGACCAGAAAAACCAGATGATGCCCAGATACCCATTACTCACCATTCTGACCAAGGACATAATAGAAGGTTCCCAAGAGAACGGGAGAAAAATACAGAGCAAATTTAAGTTCCTAAAAACGGCCAGACCTACTGGATAAGTGAAACTACAGGAACCCCTGAGACTATAGCTCTAAGCTAGATATCCTTTGAATTTTAAATTGAAGCTATTACTAGAGGCCACCTTTCAGCCAAATAATAGACTGATTTATAAAATAATATCACCCATGAGTCATATATTCCCTTTAACAATCAACGATATGAAAGCAAACAGTAAAAATTTACCTTAAAAGCAAAGATGAGAAGGAAAGGAGGGGATGGGAAGCTAGATCAATGGGAACAGAACAAACAGAATGGGAATCTTGAGAATGGTGACGTGTGGTGACAATTGTAAGAAATGTCATGGAAAATTAGTATCGAAATTGTCAAATGGGAACCTAATTTTCTGTGTAAACTTTCACCTAAAACACAGTACAGTTTTTATTCAGAAGCTGATCCTGTATCGTTGATAATCAATCCTGAGACCTCTGTTGTTATCATGAATTACAGTGACACCTGTGAGAGCTGGAACTCAATGTGATTGCCTTGTTTTTCTGGGTGTCTCAAGTTTCCCACCTTTTACAAGGTGCAATCTTACTATTTTTCTACTAGTGGGAAATATTTCAAGTTTTCACCCTCTGACTGGTTTCTGCCTTACGCAAATTCTGGCTTTCACACATTTTGCTGTATATTAATTAACATCCTAACACTGAACACTTGAGTTCCTGAAAATAATAATCCCCACTCAGTCTTAGGAGGAAATTTTTAATAAGCCTGTCATGTTTTCTAAAGTACTCAAAAGTTTCTTTTCTTCACTCCCCGCATCTCATCTTCCCTGACTCAACCCCTGTAACAGGCTCCACCATTAAGACTATGTCTTCTGGGCCCCCATGGCTCTGGCACAACTATCTGTGGACGTCATCTAGCAGAAGATTTGGGCATTTTTCACATTCAGTTTGAAGAAGTCCTTCAAGAAAAATTAATGTTCAAAACTGAAAAAAAAGCTGGACCTGAATTTGAGGAAGACTCTGAGGATGAGCTAGCTGCAAAGCAAGAAATTGAAGAGCTTGCAATTCAAGCCAATATTACAATTGAGGAAGAAAATACCATGAAGCAGGTAGTTACTCTTTTTGCAGAAAATTATGTTTACTGGTGTTACTTTTGTTAAGCAGAATATAAATGGTATAAAATGCTATCATTTCTAACAAGGAAAAATTAGCCTATGAAAAAGTACTTATGAACCCCAACATGTTAAATGCAGACCTTTCTGCGTAGCTACAACATAAAATACTGAGTCTCACATGATTCCAGAAAAAAAAAAACCAGGACAGCTTTCCCTGAGAAGACCATAGTATTGCATTTATTTGAGACTATTTGATTTAATACATCTGACCTATAATATAAGGTTTTCAATTACTGTGCTATGTCTTCTCTCAAATATCATAAAAATCTGTTCCAATGCCATTGAGATTCAAAAACACTAACTTCTGTTGTCCTGGTGTGGCACTGTAGGGTAAGCACTAGACTGTTAGCCACAAGATCAGTGGTTCAAACCCACCAACTGCTGCTTGGAAACCCTATACAGGTTTGTTATGAGTCAGAACCAACTCCACGGCATTTAACAACAACAATAATGATACCTCATATCATATGAAAGTATGTATATACCTTGAGTAATTCCTATCTGGGATTATAAAAAGAAAATTCTTAATTCTAACTCATTTGTTAATCATTTCTGATACACCCAGACAATTTTTTTCTCAAGTAATCCCCCATAAATAGACTCAGGTAGTTATTGGCAATATTTATAAAGTCGGAACAACAGGTAGTATCCTAATAGATGATCTTGCTCCCCTTCAACCGTATTCTTTAAAAGTTGTATTTGGTGGAGATGGAGAAACTGAGATTCTATGAATTAAAAAAAAATTTTGACCCAGATTTTAAAATTCAACAGATGTAGATTTTTAAATGTGGCAAAACATTTCCTACATTTCCAGAGTTTTTTGTTTGGGTTTCTTTTGCAGTTTTCTTAACCTTTTGACTTGTTGTTGTTGTTGTTGTGGTAAGTGCCGTTGAGTCAGTTCTGACCCATAGCAACCCTGTATAGGGTTTCTGAGGAGGCGTATTAAGGGATTCTAATTTTACATATATCCCACTTCTTGGTAAGCAGAATTTGCCATATCTTACTCAGTTTCAGATTTGGGGAATGCCAAAAATATCTAATAAAAATAGTTCAGTTCTAGTAAAAACTGTGCTTTTTAAATATTCTTTCAACATGGATCTGACTTCACAGAGAGCTGAGCAGGGTTAATGATTATAGTACTTCCTATGTATTATTATGATGTTTTAATCCCTTTATGGACAATGGCTGCTTGGCTGCCCCATTCCTTAATCATGATCTGGTTGGAGAGATAATACTGTATCATACAAGAAAGAGAACAAAACTCAATAAGCCTTGTAGGGGTGTGTCTTAGACTTGCAAGGTTTTATCAAAAAGTGATAAGACAGATACCCTGAGTTGAAGAATGAAAATCAGTCTGCTAGTTGTTATAGTTGACTCCTCTTAATTATAGTAGATACAACTTAATATTTACAATCATATCAAATATTAGTTTAAAATAGAGCCCATGTTTTACATTTTTAAATGTAAGCCGTAGGATTTAAAAATTACCTTAAATAGCAGCTCTTTTCCCAATTAACTCTGTAGTGTAGTACTATTTATTAATACACTGTTTTGTTTTACACATGGATTCTTTGTTTTTAGCCTACAGAAATACAACTTACAGAAGAAGAAGAAGCAATCAGATTAAATCTAACAGACAATGAGCCACTGCCTCCAGAAATTCTTGAAGGAATTCTTTCTGAGTGGTGGCTTAAGGAACCAATATGGTATTTTAATCTATATAGGATTATACTTTTATTGACTTTTGTTTGCTTCATTCTTAAAAGTTAAAAATTGTAATTCAGTGACACTTGCTTGGCTATACCTTCAAAACATATGGGGTATTTTTTTTAAATGTTAATGTCTAGACCTCACCCCAAAACACTTGAATGAGGATTTCTAGGGTTGTGAGTCTGTGACTAAGACATTGGCAGGATCTCCCATGGTGGACATGTTTCAGCTGAGCTTCAAGACTAAGACAAACTAGGAAAAAGAGACAGATTACTTCTGAATGCTTAGCCATTGAGAACCTTATGAATAGCAGTAGAACACTGTCAGCACCAGAATATCGAATATTGAAACATGATGACTAGCAGTAGACTATTGTCAGATATACTGCTGTTAGATGAGCCCCTCAGATTGGAACACACTCAAAATACGACTGGGGAAGACATACCTCCTCAAAGTAGAATTGATCATGATGACACAGCTGGAGTAAAGTCTTCAGGACCTTCATTTGCTGATGGGGCACAACTCAAAATGAAGAGAAACAGCTGTGAACAACCATAATTATAACACAGAATGTACAAAGTATGAATCTAGGAAAATTGATGTATTTGAGTTATGGTGTTGGAGAAGAATATTAAAAGTGCCATGGACTACCAGAAGAACAAAAAATTCTGGTAGCGTAGTGGTTACGAATTGGGCTGTGAACCTCAAGGTCAGCAGTTCGAAACTAACAGCGGTTCCGTGGGAGAAAGATGAGGCGTTCTGCTCCTGTAAAGATTTACAGCCTCGGAAACCCTGTGCAAGGTCGCTATGAGTCGGAACTGACTCCACGGCACTTAACAACAACAACAACAATACAAAGTACAGCCAGATACTCCTTAGAAGCCAGGATAATGAGACGTCATCTCTCATACTTTGGACATATTATCAGGAGGGACTAGTCCCTGGAGAAGGACATCCTACTTGGTAAAGTGGAGGGTCAGTGAAAAAGAGGAAGACCCTCAATGAGTTTGATTGGCACAGTGGTAGCAGCACTGGGCTCAAGTGTAATGATTATGGGGATAGCAGGGGACTGGCAGTGTTTCTTTCTGTTATACATGGGATCACTATGAGTCACAACCAACTTGATAGCACCTAATTTCAGTAGGAACCCACAATTAATAACAGTCATTCCAACTAGGATTTAGAGGCTACCTCTCAGAAATTGAGTACGAAGGTCAGCCAAATTCTTAACTACACAGGTTTAGATATTACCTCTCAGGAACCAGGAACAAAGTCAAACCAAATGTTTTAGTGCACACCACCTGAAAATGTGGTCATTCTAAGATCAAATTCTGACCCAAACAGAAATCTTCATATGTGCTCCCTGCTAAGGCAAAACCAATCCCAGAGTATTAGCTCCTTCCTAGGTCCTGCTGACCAGGATTGGCCAGCTGAACAGCAGAGACTCATGGGAAAGCAGGATAGATAGGCTTGGCTAGACTCATTCACGGGATACAGCAGATAGATACTATGAAGAACAATGAGAAGTGGGTGTGAAAGTCAAGGTTGCGTGTGAACTTGAATGAGACAAGAGTCTCAGTGGTTTGGCATTTGAGATGTAACTATCCCCCATGATGTGATTTGATGTGATAAACCAATAAGAAGATTAAGGGTGTGATGTTGTTGTTGTAGTTGTTGTTGTTAAGTGCCTTTGAGTCTGTTCTGACTCATATAGACCATGCATAGCGTTTCCAAAAAGCAGCTGGTGGTTTTGAACCACAAACCTTGAGATTAGCAGTCCAGTGCTTTTCCTACAGAACCACACAAGGATACATCACCCATAATCCCATTACTACCCAGATCCAATTTATGGGAGACTCCCAAGGATGTGGCATGCAACCCCTTTTATTTTATAACAGATAAAAGGAGAGAGTCTTGAGCATAGAAGGAGGGACCTACTACCATCAAGACAGAAGAGTCAGGAATGGAGAGATCCTTTGGTCCTGTGGTCCCTGCACTGTGAAGCTCCTAGATCCAGGGGAAGATTGATGCCAAAATGTTTGGAGATCTTCAAGGAACACAGGGCTTACAGATGATAAAATGAGACAAGGATTTTCCCCAGAACTGACAAAAGAGAAAGCCTTCCCCTAGAACCAGCACTCTGAATGTAACCTCCTAAACTGCGAGAGAAAGGAGTTCTGGTAGTCTAGTGGTTACAAATCAGACTGCAAACCGCAAGGTCAGCAGTTCGAAACTACCAGCTGGTCCATGGGAGAAAGATGAGGCTTTCTGCTCCTGCAAATATTTGCAGCCTCAGAAACCCTGTACAGGGTTGCTATGTGTCAGAACCGACTCCACGGCACATAACAACCAACAACCAAATCTGTAAATTGATGGATTACAATTTTGTTATAAATAGAAAATACTATCTATCATTTTAATGCAATTCAGTATGTTTGGGAGAAGAAACACCATGTATACATACACAAGTAGAAGTATTAAAAGCAGTAAAAGATACTATAGTACACTTTTTAAACTATTCACTGCACACTGCATAAAGTTGAAATTTATCTCTCTATATATCTCATCTTAATATTTGTATGTAATCTATATTGTTATCTTAAGCAAATAGGATAAATTATCAAAATGTCCACTTAGTTCCACAGGTTTTATACTGGATGGTTTCCCACGATACCCTGAGGAGGCCCAGTTTCTGGGTGAGCGTGGATTTTTCCCAGATGCTGCTGTTTTTATACAAGTTGATGATCAAGATATTTCTGAACGACTTCTTCCTTCTCAAATTGATAAGTGGAAACTTAAACAAAAGAGGAAATCAGACAGGAAAAAACTCATCAAAGATATGAAGACAAAAATAAGGGTAGGCATGTAAAATAAATGGATAAGCACTGAACTGCTAATCACAAGTTCCACAGTTCAAACCCACCAGTTGCTCCTTAGAAATGCTATACAGGATCATTGAGTCAGAACTCGATGACACTTACAACAGCTAATAACAATGCTTGGGGAATTTGTTCACCATCTGTTTTAAATTATCAAAGGTCTTTAACCAATACTGTAGTTTTGGGGGTTTAATACTGTAGTCATCCTGAAAGCATTGTTCATGAACTAGCAAGACTCTTTAAAGAGTTAAGAATTATTTGAGACATGTGATTGGTAGGCCATTGGCACAACAGTGCTGCCATCTTAATTCACTGGCCTCTCCTTGTTTGGGTGAAGTGAGCAGAGAAAAAGCAGACTCAGCACATGGATGTGTTATTGTGTATACAGTATGCAGATCACATGTATAAAGTGATCCTCATGCATTATGAAAGCACAAAAGAAATTGTCTTTTTACAATGCTATGGTTAACAGACCTATGGTAAAATTATAGTTTAAGAAAAAGATATAATAAAAGTTTTTATTAATTCTCACCCTCTTAAAAGCAACAGATTATCTCTGGGGACTCATAAACCAAATTAGTTTGATTCATTTCAGTTGTATAATTCTACCTGTAACTATTTCTTGAGTTCCCACATGGTATGATATAAGATTTCAGGAATATGTACTCCATGTTAACTAGATAAACGCACCAGAATCCACCTGGCCTAGACCAGAGCCACAGAGCATGTCTTCAGGATCCATTCCAATCTCCTGCTATGTAATGGTGCTCCAATTTGGAAGGTCCTGAGCCAGTGAGACTCAAAACCCTACAGGGGCTAGTTTTCACACAAACCTTGGGGACATGTCATTAGAGCTCCCTGCCATCAAATTTAGAGGACCCTAGAAGAGCTGGAAGACAATGTACACACGTATTTTTAGTTTAGTTTGTTTTTTAAAGCTATTGTATTTAAATGTATTATAAAAGGACCATCAAATATTTTAAACAAATTCCCTCCAAGTATTTGCTTCTGAAAATGCAGCCAATGAAAACCAAATGGATCACAATGGGTGGATCCTGGCGTCATGGGGTCACCAGGAGTTGGGGTCAACTTGATAGCTGTTAACAAGTTTCCTTATTTCTTCAAGTATGAAAAACAAGCCAATAAGTAATTAATCAGTGTTTGAAAAGGGGTCCTAATTTCAGGGAAAGAGTAACTAACTCCCTACCCATCCACTACCATTGAGTCAATTCTGGCTTAAAGCAACCCTCTAGGATTCCCAGTACTATTTATCTCTCTGGAGAGAAATTGCTGATAAAAGTAAAAGGTTCAGGGGCCCAGAGAGGTAAGTAACAGAATTACAGCCACTTTTTCACCCACATAGTATTCCCAGTTTGGAAAAAAAACTAATACATAAAAGTTATTTTTATCCTTATCCATTAAAATTTTAACATATCTCTTTTTTTAACAGGATGAGTTGATTGCTAAAAGAAGGGCTGAACTTTTATCAGAAAGAGAGAAAAAAAAGAAAGGGGAGGTAAGTAAATGGTATCAAATAAAGAAATGCATAGAAAAACATCTTGAAGGAAATATGCAGTGTTTGTGTATGATTTATTGTTGTGTGCCATCAAGTCCATTCTCATTGTGAGAACATATAGGGTTTCTAAGGAGTGGTTGGTGGATTTGAACCACTGACCTTGAGATTACCTATCCAATGTTTACCCTGTTGTTGTTAAGTGTTGTAGAGTCAGTTCTGATTCACAGCAAACAATTCCAGAACAGGAAGAGACAATAAAAACCCCAGAGAAAATTGCTGGAAGACAACTTCCCTAACATCATGAAAAACAAAAAGACAAAGCATGCAAGAAGATGAATAAACCCAAACAGGATAGATCTCAAAAGAAAATCACCAAGACATCTCATAATCAAACTTTCCAAAGCCAAAGTCAAGGAAAAATACTAAGGGCAGCATTACCTACAAAGGAGAACCAGTAAGATTAACCTCTTGATTTTTCAGTAGAAAACATGCAGACAAGAAGGCGATGGTATGACATTTGCAAATCTCTGAAAGAAAACAAAATTGGCAACCAAGAATCATGTACTCAGCAAAGCTGTCCCTTAAATATGATGGTGAAATTAGGACTTTTCCTGATAAACAGAAATTAAAGGAATTTATAATGGCCAGACCAACTTTACAAAAAATGCTAAAGGGTGTTGTTTGGACTGAGAACAACAGCAACAGACTGAGATTACCATGCAGATTACCATACTACATCACCCAGAATTCAATCTGGATATTTGTTGTTGTTAAGTACCGTGGAGTCGGTTCTAACTCATAGTGATCCTGCACAGGGTTTCCGAGGCTGTAATCTTTTTTTAAAGTTTTTATTGTGGATTGAGTGAAAGTTTACAGGGCACATCATCAGTTTTACATTCAACAAATCATACACCTTGTTTCATTACAATGATTATAATCCCCTCCATGTACCATCAGTTAACAGTATTTCTCTCTATCCACTTTAACTTTAAAAAAAAAAACCACTCAGGCATATGTAATAATTTACTTCTCCAAAGGGCACATTCTGCAAGTCTGCCTCCTGGCCACCAGCTCTTAGTCCCTCATTCCCATGAATCTAGAGTCCTCAGCCACTCCTCCTCTCCATGCCCCCATCTCTGCCTCCATCTCTGGCGTCACTGCTTCTCTGGATAAGGTCCCTCATTCTACTTGTGCTCTTCTCCCTTGATGGTCCTAGGGTCCTCTGTTTCTGGACTGTAAGATTAACCACTCCCCTGTTTTTGTTACAAAACTTCTACCTTTACAATTGTGACAGTCACAATTAGTCATGATAACAGTTATTCACTATTGAATCATACAAATCTTATCCCCTTCTCTTTTCACCAAGAGGAAATCTATTCAGCGGGGACTCTTTCTTTCTCCCCATACTCTGTTTTTTTTTTTTTTTTTAATGTTTTATTGTGAATTATGTGATAGTTTACATGGGAGATGTAAACCTTTAAGGGATCAGAAAGCTTCATCTTTCTCCCACAGAACAGCTGGTAGTTTCGAACTGCTGGCCTTGAGGTTAGCAGCCCAATTCGTAACCACTATGCTACCAGAGATCCTTCAATTAGCATATAGAAGTAGTTAAATAAAACAAACCTGCAAGACTGATAATAGGGAACCAGAGATATCAATGTATAATGAAGTCAATTACAAAGCAAAAAAGAGGGAATAGTGTAGATACAGAACTTCCAAATGGCAAAGAAATAAAGTAGATTTAAAGATAAAGCAGACTCTTTTAAACAGGGAAAAAATTTATAAATTACAGGGTCAGCTAAAAAAAAATTAATATACCTGCACATCAAAATAAAAAACAGGAAAATCAGAAAGATTTAGTAAACATTACCACAATAGAAATGAAAACTCACAAAATGAATGCAACACAGAAAATTTTTGTGGAACAAAGAAATCAGCAGCATCACACAGAAAAAAAATTTTTAAAAACCAATTCATACCTATCGATAATTACATGGATTTTGTACACCTGTTAAGAAACAAAGAGTAGCAAAATGGATAAGTAAGCAGGATCCTTCAATATGCTGTCTACAAGAGACACATCAAAAAATGGAGACAGTCGAAATGCCCATCAACAGAAAAATGGCTAAGCAAGCTTTGGTACATACACACAGTGGAATACTACACAAAGTTAAAGAATCTATGAAACACCTCACAACATGGATGAACCTGAAAGATGTTATGCTGAGTGAAATTAGTCAATCACAAAAGGACAAATATTGTATGAGACCAATGTAGTACAAAGTTAAGAAAAGGTTTTCTTCATAAAAGAACCCATCTATGATGGTTATGAAGGGAGAAGGAAAATTATTCATGGGCTAGGGGGTAGACTGAAAGTGAAAAAGACTTAAAAAATATTTACTGATGAAGATCAAAGAGCACAGCCTTCGGTATGGATTGCATCTCAATATAAAGAAAACGAAAATCCTCACCACTGGACCAATAAACATTTTTACCAACAGAGAAAAAATTTAAAATTGTCAAGGACTTCATTCTTCTTGGATCAACTATCAACACTCACCAAAACAGCAGTCAAGAAATCAAACAACGTATTGCATTAGGCAAATCTGCTGCACAAGACCTTTTTAAAGTGTTGAAGAGCAAAGATGTCAGCTTGAGGACTAA